GAAGCCCGAGGCAGAGTTGCTCTGCCCCAGGCTTCCTGGAATCAGCTGCTGATCAGTTTCAGCAGCAGCTGACTTGGGGACGCCTGGGTTTCTTAAGTTGAATCTGTATGTAAGTCAGAACTGGCGTCCAGATTCAGCCGCGGTTGAAACTGATCAGTTTCAGCAGCGGCTGACGCCAGTTCCGACTTACATACAGATTCAACTTAAGAACAAACCTACAGTCCCTATCTTGTACGTAACCCGGGGACTGCCTGTACTTATAAATTTCATGTATGATTGGGTCAAATTATGAATCAGTTCTGTCAAATTTTTTAAGTATGCTTTTGAGCTGTAAATGCTCCGAATATACAATATTTTTGACTGATGGAAATCAAATATTTTGCACAAATCTTCAAATCCAACATTCTGAAATCTAGAGCCCTACAAAGCATCGATAACCACTTTATATCTACGTCTGCAGATGGGGACAAGGACATCTATGGCTTATTTTTTTGGATACAGATTCAAATTTCGTATCTAGAATCCTACAAATTTGCAGATATTCACTTTATACATGTGATATCTGTAGATGCAGATATCCCTGGATCATTTTTGTGGATGCGAATACCAATATTGTATATGCGCCAAGCTCTACTGAAAAAAAAAAGATTTTAACAAATTTAAAATTGAATTGAAAGCAATTTCAGGTACCACAAACCTCAAGAATACCCCTACTAATCATATTCTATTTTTAAATGCTCTCTCCCCCTTCTGTTATGGGGATAGTTACACAGTGTTACCAACAACGATTTAAACAAACAAATCCCCAGAGAAATAGCTCTCATCTTTTTCAGCTAATAGTCATATCCTCACGTGAGTGTCAAAACTGCAGACAAAAAAAAACTGTGGCAGGAAAGCTACTTTAACGGTGATACTGAGACCCTCCCCCCCGCCCCCTCCACTGCAAGAAGAGGCCTTTAACACACACTCAACACCGGGTGACCAGCCACATGAAGGGCCCCAGCCGAGGTCCATTTTCATTCTGATCGCTACTCTATCCCCAAGCAACGTGACCCAGGACCAACCTGCCCTTCAGCCGCTCCGAGACTCTACCACAGCGAAGTTCCTGCCCTCGCCGCCTCCTGCGGCCGCCAGCGGGGATGGAAGAAGCCTCTCGGGTGGGTCACGCTGCAAGGTGGGAAGGGGAGACGGTTAGCGGGGGGCGGACCCGCTTCTTTCCCAGCGGCAAAGCCGGCGGGCGGGCCCCGCGCCAAGGGCTGCTGGCAGGGGAGCGTCGGGCGGCCGTTGCCCATGAACGCGCAGCGTCTCCTTGGAGAAGCGATCAACAGACCCTCCCCCACCGCCGCCGGGCACCTTGGGGCGCCGGGAAGAGACCTCCGGGGCGCAGCGCCGGGGGCCGTTCAAGGCGCGTGCCACGCTGCTCCCCCTTCTCCTGCGGGGGCTGGGCCCGGCCGAGCGCGCTGCCAAGGCCAAAGGGCTCTACACAGGCGCCAGCCCGGGAAAAAGGGGGCGGGCAATGCGGCGGCAGCAGCGCCGGGAGCCACCGTGGACCTCCCGCCCAGCGGCAATGACCGAGCCCGCTGGGTGCTGGGGTGGGGGGCAGGGACCCTCACACACAATCCTCAACGGCCACCTTCGCCGCCATTTTGGTTCGCTTCTGTGCGCGGAGGCGGGGCGGCGCGGACTGATACACACCGTTACTTGGTAACCTGCGCCGCAGATGCTCTTCTGCGCTGCTCCCCCCCGTGGACCTCCCGCCCAGCGGCAATGACCGAGCCCGCTGGGTGCTGGGGTGGGGGGCAGGGACCCTCACACACAATCCTCAACGGCCACCTTCGCCGCCATTTTGGTTCGCTTCTGTGCGCGGAGGCGGGGCGGCGCGGACTGATACACACCGTTACTTGGTAACCTGCGCCGCAGATGCTCTTCTGCGCTGCTCCCCCCCGCGGCCGGCATAAGGGCACGTGACTGAAAGCCAGCAAGGCGCCTTTCCTTCAAGCTCTTCCGCTCACTTCATTCCTGGCGGGAAACCTGGAACGGCTAAATCTAACCAGGGCCTCAAAGAAAACCAGGACTACAAATCCCGGCATGCTATGCGCAAGCATGCGCGTTCCAGCCACTCTTGCGAGCAGCGCATGGTGGGATTGGTAGTTTCAGTGGTCTTGACGTCTACCGTGGAGGGAAGCGCTCACGCTAGGGCGCATAATCTGATGGCAATGCATGCTGGGAAGTGTGTTCTTGATACTGTAGTTCTTTATTAGGGGGTTCAATAATTCTTTTGTTTTTTTTGTCATTAGGACCCAGAAGCCTCCAGTGGGAAGCAGTGACCAACCAGCTCCCACGTCCTGATGCCCCGCCCAAGCTCTGTACCCCCTCCCACACCCCAGCTTCCACTCATGAGCCCCCTCCTGTACCCAAACGCGCTCCCCCAGCCTCAGCCAGGAGCCTCTCTCAGACTCTAAATTCCTTTGCCCAAGACCAGAGTCTACACTGTCCTGCAGCCCCAACTCGGTGAAAGAGAGTGAGGATGGAGGAAGGAAAAGGGAGGGAGAAGAGTAGGGCCTTGGAGAAAAGGTGGGGCAGGTGCAGGGTCTCAGAAAAGGAGTAGAGAAGGAGGCAGGCCAAGAGTATGTGAGTTTCAGATTGATCTTGGATTCCACTTACATTCTTGTGGAATTTGTGGTTAAAAAGGTTAGAAACCACTTATCTAACTGCATTATAAGTGTCCAAAAAGGAGGAAAAATTGCTCTTTTTACTTGTGTGGGTTTGTATAAAAGATATAAAACACTTTTTAGATTTTTAGTTCAGGTAAGCTTCTATGGCAATGCTCTCCAACTTCTTTAACCACAAGATCACTTTTTTAATTTAAGTGCAATGTAAGATCTACCTCAGACCCAAATACCCTTGTGGAGCCCCCCCCTCTCTCCCCCAGTTCTACCTTTCTTAGGGGCTGCAGGGACATGCCAGCCCCTTCCAGGAGCAGCAGTTACCATAGGAATAAATACTTCAGCCATGACAGATTAGGCATTTGAGAACTCACTACTCAAAGAATTAAATTTAAACATGAGAGAAATCAAAATTATAAAATGCACAGATCAGTCAAAAACCAAATATAAACACGTTTTGCAAGTAGTAAAAGTAGTAACAACAACAGTATGTGTTTGGTCAGGAGTTGAGGTTGAAGGACAACTGGTGTTTGTGAGAATGACTGAGACACACACAATGTGTGAAAGTGACAGATTTACATTGCCAAGCTCCCTCCATCCCCTTTTCCCTATGTTGGAACAGGGTACAATAGTGGGGGGAGGAGGGACACCCTGACAGCACACACACCCTTCTCCCTCTCACACCCTGCACAGCAAGCAGGAGCTCCTAGGGGTGCAGTTCCAAGGCAAAAGCAGCATGACAGCAGGTGGAGGGGCAGCTGAAGTACCAGCGCTTGATAGCTTCTTGGCTAAACCAGTGAAGATCACCTGTCAGAGGCTTCAAGATCTGCTGGTAGATCCTGATCTACTAGTTGGAGAACACTGTCGTATGGCATACTAATACGATCTAATATCAGTCATCAGGTATGAGAAGTAATTTTTATTTAGACCGCAATCGAGACATAGGTTTAAAGTTCATATTTAAGTTTATTTTTTTAACTTTTCTCATAAGTCATGCATAAAACGATAAATAAAAGATTAAAGAGAATAATCTTTTCAACATGTTTAATTTGTGCATATTTCTGCATGCTGTGTATAGTCATTTTACTGTTTCTCCGGTTGTGTCATTTTTGGATATTTTTATTCAGCAACAAGAGGGGGAAAAAGAACCTATCAGGCCCTCATTATACATCATAAGGAAGTACATGCACATAAAATGTACGTAGGAGAGATCTCTATATTTGCTTACACATAAATAGTTATATCATCTTAAGCACCATCTGTTATCATATATATGTGTTTTATAAGATCAATAACATTTTGGCTTCCTTTCTGCAGCTCTTTATATCAGCTTTTAACACCTGTAATCTGTTGGTATTCTTCATACATAGCAGGAGTTATAGCATATTAAATGAAACCTAAGTCCTGTGATCTCTGTCAGCCACACCTCTGCATTAAAAATAAGATACCTGGTGTGGAATTCATAAGTTCATCAGTGCCCAAGTTCAACATCCATGCATCACTGGCATTCACAATATCCCTGCTCAGTTGCTGCCTAGCCCCTTAGGCACCTTAATTCCATACATGCTTAAGTTTCTTCCACAAAAGTCTGCAAAGTGCTTAAATTTTGGCATCTAGACACATGCACAGCCATCTACTTCCTGACACTGACCAGATGCTCAGTGCTTAACTCAAATTCACAAATGGAGTGTTCTTCTACTGACAGTGCCTTTGGGGCCCAATCCACTTGACATACTCAGAGCATATCTAAATCCAAACCAACTGTCTGCTGGTGGTGCAGCCCCCTCTTATATCATTTAAACCAATGGTTAAGCACTCACCATGTTTGTTTATATAAGGTTTTCCCAAGGTGACTGATGATAGTTAGAGGACCAGGATATCCCTAGCCTACTCTAAGAGCAAAGGTTGAATCTCAAGAAGGGTAATATACAATGTGTTGCTCATACCTCAAATCCTATTGTCAGAAGTATGGAAAAAGGGGAAATGAATTCCAGAGCCTATATTACCTGAGACTCCTAAAGCAGGGGCCTTTAAGAATTTGCCCTGGTTTGTTGTTTAATACTAATCCTGTGAAGTGGATGTTTTCTTTATGCTACATTAAAATGTAATAAATGAAACTTACATTGTTACTAAAGCTTTCATCACCTTATTTTACTTTACACTAGTAAAAACAGCTGCAGGAAATTATTTTCCATGGCTCATTAACTGATCTCCTTTGTACAAAAAGAACACAAGATCCACAAACACATTGGCTGCGTCCAGATTGGCATGATTTTCCGGAAATACTTTTAATGGAAAAGTTTTCCAGTAAAAGCATTTTTGGAATAGAGTGTCTAGATTGGCACGGATGCTTTTCCGCAAAAGCACTTTTTGCAGAAAAGCGTCCATGCCAATCTAGAAGCGCTTTTCTGCAAAAAAAAAAAAAAGCCCTGATCGCCATTTTCGCGATCGGGGCTTTTTTGCTGAAAACAAATCTGAGCTGTCCACACTGGCCCTTTTGCACAAAAGCTTTGAGCAAAAGGGACTTTTGCCTGAACGGGAGCAGAATAATATTTCCACAAGAAGCACTGATTTCTTACAGTAGGAAGTCAGTGCTTTTGCGGAAATTCAAGCGACCAGTGTAGACAGCTGGCAAGTTTTTCTGGAAAAGCAGCTGATTTTCCGGAAAAACTGGCCAGTCTAGACACAGCCATAGGGATATATGTATGAGGCAGTGACTCTCTTGGATTTTTATGGCAAATGACCCCACTTCAGGGTAGGGATTGAACTAGTTGCTTCCCCGCCTCCCCCCTTTGCTGCTTTTATCAGAAAGAGACAGCAAGGATGGAGAAAGTGGAGGGGGTATTTGAAAGTGGTGGTGCAACATGGAGCCTGGGGCTCCCCACAGCATTTCAAAGTAGCTGCGCTGCATGGAGTCCAGAGTGAGCGGGGGAGTCCGCAGCTGATCCCAGGCTCCATGCTGCACTGCCGCTTTGAAACACCGCATGCAGCCTGATGCCAGGCTCCCCCACAGGGTTTCAAAGCAGCAGCGCTACATGGAGCCCAGGGTAAGCGGGGGGAGTCCCCAGCTGATCTTGGGCTCCATGTGGTGCAGCTGCTTTGAAACATCATGGGGAACACGCAGCCAGCGGGGGACTGCCCCACTGGCCCCGTGCTGCCCACAGCGCTTTCGCCTTTGAAGTTTAGCAACAGCCTTAGGGCTATTGCTACACTTCAGAGGTGGGGGCACCTTGTCAACTAAATCAAATATTGCAGTGAAAATTGCAAACTATTCAATTAGTCAATTACTAGAAATTTAACATCCCTACTGCAGGGAGAAGCATAGGAATACATCCCTATGTTTTCATAAGTAAAGTCACTTTAAAAGAATATGCAGCAACTTCCTGTAGTAGATCATGTACCATTACCATCTTATAACTATTGTACAATTAATAATCTCACCTTATAGCATTACCCATTACAAAGATAGCTTCCCCAATTATCACCTCTAATACCATTAGCTCACAGACATCTACCTTTCCCCACTTCTAATATCATTAACTCACAGACATTTACCTTCCTTGCATTCCCCTTCTGTTCTGAAATGTGATTTGTCCTTTTCATATGTGTTCATTTTTTTAATTGTATCCTTTGGTATATATGGTTGTGACTATTTTCTTCCACTATTTGATCTGAGGAAGTGGGTCTGGCCCATGAAAGCTCATCATCTAATAAACCATTTTTTAGTCTTTAAAGTGCTACATAGTCCTGTATTTTGTTTCAGCTACACCAGACTAACACAGCTACATTTCTATCACTATATGAGCAGTATGTGTTATTGCCCTGCAGATGGCAGCAGCATTTAAGAAAACCTTATAAATTATTAAAGTAGTTTTGAGAGCCCTGATCTACAGTAAGGAGTTATTTTGAAGTAACCCACCTGATTTTGAAATAAGTGTAGCATCCACACTGTCAAGCCTATTATTTCAAAATAATGGGCTGGTTATTTTGAAATCTGTAGTCCTGCTTTCCACAAGGAATAGTGCTTATTTCGAAATAATTATTTCAAAATAGTGGTAGTGTGGGTCCTCCATTGCTGCTATTTCAAAATAACTACTCCCTAGAGTAATTTGAAGTAATTACTTCCTAGTGCTTCCTGGGGCTCTAAGTCAGAACATGTCCACAATAACAGAGCCTACCTTGGATTAATTTTGAGGACCCGCTGTATTGGGGACATGCTATTTTGATTTTGTTATTTCAGGAGTTATTTCAAAATAATTTCCTAGTGTAGACATGCCCAGAGAGACAAGGTGGTTGAGTTAATATCTTTTATTGGAAGGAACCTCTGTTGATGCGAGAGCTTGAAAGCTTGTCTGTCTCACCAACAGAATTTGGTCCAATATAACATCCTACTTCACCCACTTTGTCTTTCTAATATCCTATGACCAACATGACTACAATAACACTGCCTGCAGTAGTTCTCAATTTTTTTTTCCATATTGTGGCTCACTCCTTAAAATCTCCTAGTGTCACCTCCTTCATTTCCACTCTTCCCTGCAGTAAGTAAATTGCTAAGGGCATTATTAAGGAAACAAGATTAAATAAACTCACTTGAATACAATGGATGTAGATTATTTATTATATATTTGCATTATGAGTCATAACTGTATCTTCTCTCTCCCCAGTGTAGGATGTCATGTATGTTAGAACCAAATCTCCCGCTTTCTTAAAGCCCTCATTGCTATGATTTCCCCATGACATTTTGTAGTCTGGTTCTGTTCTCTGTATTCTGCTGTCTTTGAAGGTTGAATGTAAATCTGATCTTTTTGAATTTGCAGCAAATATGAGGTTCCTTGTGACAGGGTGGATCAGGCCCCAAGGCCCAACCTGGGGCAGCAAGGCCACAAGCCAACATGGCCCATGAAAGACTATAGACAAGTCCTCCAAGCAGGCTAGATTGGCAGCAGAGGAAGCACCCAATCAAGAGCCAGCATGGCCCTATAAAAGGATCTGCAAAGCAGCTGTCAGTTGCAGTGTAGAGTTTAAGGGATGCAGATAGGGGTGGGAGGGAGAAGCTGGCTAAGAGAGTAGTACTGTGGTGGGCTTCCTGTAGTCCAGTGGAGTATGCTGAGACTTGGCGATAAAGTTCTGAAGTGAGGGTGAAAATATTGCTTGGAAGGAAAGCCCTGGGGACATCTCTCTTGTTCAGAGTGGGGAGTAGACTTAGGACTCTACAGAGGGCACTGAGATTGGCCTCTGTTAAAGGAAGTGTGCCTCACACAGGTGGTGTGAGTCAGCTGGAGAGCTGAGTTGCTGAAGAGGCTTTCCGCTGTCAGAGACAGAACGAACACAGGTACTTAGCCAGAGGGGGTCACTTGCAAGAGATGAGTGCTGCTCCATTACACTCATCTATTAGATGCTGGGAGTTGTTTCTGAGAAGAGTCTGGCAAAGCTGAAAATCTTGGACTGAGCCATCTTTGCTTGGAGGCTGCCGTGATTCATCACTTCAGAATACAGCAGTTCCTTCAAATGGACGTTGGCTCACCAGTGACATATTGACTAGATATATTTCTGACTTTAAAAATCAAATACACTACGTATTTACATCTAGTTGAGTCTGGAAGAACAGCAGTAACATAGAAATTTTCACCTCTAAATCACTGGTTTTAATCTAGCCTGTGTTAAAGTCTCTATGTGGTGGCTGCTTAGTGACCTGTGAGATATTAATTGATGGTCTCAGTCAATTTCCTAGTTAATATCACAGAGATTTCTGCCATAGATGCTAACACACATCACATCAGAGATAGCAAGAAATGAAGAATGAACTATACCCTTGCAGTAAAGAGAGTCCCTCTTATTAGCTGCTTTGGCAATATCTTCTTAATTTGTGTTCTTTCAGTATATAGGAAAGCAATTAGACTATA